TAAAGTAAAATCTTGAATGTTTGTATGAAAAAAAATCCTAACACCACTGTATGAACTTGCTTACCTATTTCCTTGGCTGTCATTGTTTTCATAGAATGTATTCCTACTTCATTTGAAACAAAAGCAATGGAAGGATTTGAATGGCAGGTTACATATCACAAGATGCTTTTATTATTCACTTTAATTTACAATGCATGTAGTTCTACAATGCATGTAGTTCTAACAGGCCCTTTAATTACATTTCGTCAACAAAATAATAAGCAAGACAATTTTAAGTCAAGTTCGCAGGTCTGATCTTCATTTCAGTTGTCGTGGGAGCACTGCCATTAGCCATTTTGGGATCTAGGTTTGCCCAATAGATCTCGCCCCCTCTATCAAGCTGATAGACACCGTTGAGATTTGAGTGCAGAGGTTTTCCACAATTTTTCCGGCTGTACCACCAACCTCCACCTTTTTTTACCACACACCCAGGACCAGCGGGATCTCTATCCCAAGTACCAAATGAGAGGCCTTTGTGATGTGTGAGACCATCATGTATAACACTGTTATCTGGATAAAGAGACGTTGCAAAAAAAAAACAAACAAACAAACAAACAAACAAATACATTATTACTAGCATTTTAAATGTGAAAGTGGGTGCTGGCGTCAAAGGGATAATTTCAAAACACTCGCATGTCAGTTCATTTGCTAAAGAACAAAATAATGTTCCAAGCTCACCCAAATCTCCAAATTTTAATACAGTTGCTGTGCCATTAGAATTTGGCATATCATCACCGTTTCCAGCAAGAGGGTCAAAAGTATAATATGAACCATTTGATTCAATTAAAACAGATCAGTGACACTTCTAAAAAGGACGATTTCCTGCTTGGAAGTTGTGAAAGTATTCATCGATGCTGAACAAAAGGAAAGGCAAGTAAAAAGGGCGTCAATCGCATTGATCAACCCTTGTCGGCGCTCTTCACATTTTATGCTGTAAACATCCCAATGAAGGTTTCATTGGGATGTTTACACTTTCAGGAATTTACATGGGATGTTTACACTTTCAGGAAGGTTTCATTGGGATGTTGACACTTTCAGGAATATTCCACGCAATTGAGCAAACGACAACTTAATGTTATGCTCGAGAAGTTTTCTTTTCACTCAAAGCTTGGAAAAAAAATGGACTTCACGGTCGAATAGATCCACGGATGAAATCAATTCAGAATTGGTCTCAAAGCCATTCGATTTTGCAGTTGAATGGCTAGCTTCAGCGAGCGATCCACAGTTTGTTGAATAGGTACGTAGCTTCAACGAGTGATCCACATTTTGAACCTATGATTGCAAGATTTTCTTTCACCTCAACGGGCAAACGTAAATCAATGGTCGAATTATTTACCGCAACAGGCATTACTCGAAATCGATTGTTATTTCCACGTGCATTTTACGTAATGTCATCACAAGCATCCCGGATATAAAAAAACCTACCGGCTGTGCATGAATCTGATCTTACAGCCGACAAATTTTAGCTTTTCCTCGCTAATGTAAATAATAGGCTGCTGCCTCGCTAGGGCTCGCCAGCGATAAGCTCAGCAGCAAGACGAATCTGTTGCCTGTTACGTTGTAAGGCATAATAAAGGACCGGAGAGAGAGTTTTCGAGAATATTTAACCAACCAGATTGACTTACTTGAAAAATTGCCGAGGCTCAGCGTGTAGTTACTATTCCTGTCCCCAATGCCAAACGAAGCGTATTCAGCGTAAACAGCCTTATTACTCGCTACTAGATCTACCCTAAGCTTGTTTTCTGTCTCGTTCTGCGTCAGGCGGTTAATCTTGTTAAGTCCGAGCCAAACATTCACCAATGAGGAAATTACCGAAACCTTTTGTGTAGTCATCCCACGTGCGGTTGAAATCAACAGGGCCATTCTGTCTCTTTTGGATGACTGTCCACCCTCCACCAGTTGTTATCTGGTCGCAATATACATCAAAGGCACCTTTACCGTCAGGGTCGATTGTATAAACACCACTTATGGTTTGACCCCTTGTGTACAGCTCAGCACAGTTCTTAGCTGTTAAGAGATAAAAAAAATTAATTTGTTATCGTCGGTTACGAGTACTAGGAAAAGAGGATGTACTAGGAAAAGAAGAAATAATTGAGAATCAAGTAAAGGAGATAATGCAATCAACAAACGATCGATAGTTCAGTTTTTTTTTTTACAGTTCTGAACTCATGGAGAACGCTAGAGTGCAAGTAGAATTGCTCTCCGCAAGGAATCACTGAATTCCAACACCAACTCAGAAAAACATTCTGCCACTATGTAAACAACCGTCGTATTCAAGGAAATGTAATCCAAGGGTTATCATAATATACCAATTGCAAAGCATAGATTCTTACTCACATTTCTCGGATTTTCTGCTGTTGTTTTTGCAACTTACCGAAGCTGCACGAGCTGAAGGTAACAACTGAATCGTGAATAAAAGTGTCACACTGAGCAGCAGAGAAGAATTTTGTGCAACAGACATGATGCGATTAAATTCCTCTCCCAACCTTAAAGCTGTAGATCCCGAAATGTATACGTAGCACAGCTGTAGATTAAAGAAATTTCAATAAGTCAAGCCTGTATTTATACGGCAGTTTCCTGAGGTAACGTAACAGGGCGTAGGAACGTTAGACGCGACGAGAATGTGCTAAATGACAGGTGCATTACCCGGAAGTCTCTCAATACTCACAAGAGAGGAGTGTTCTGGAATAAGGAGCATCCGTGTTTGTTTTCCTGTATTAACGTAGGAAGTTGACAAAGGTTGATAAAATATTTTGAGTCGAAATAAGCGTGAAGCTTACTCTTCTTGTACGGAGGATGCGTCCTTCTTTGCTCACTCAAACATCAAAGCTGGCACGATTCTGAGGTGAAACCTCTTTAACCCTTAAAAAATAAATTAATGTTTCATTACAATCAGTCTACGATTGTATGAAAGAGATAAGGACTTATAGAATTTAATTTATACATCGAGCGAGATTCGACTGTAAAGAGGTAACCATAACATTCATAAGTCCTATGGGGTGAAATCTTCATAATGTGTTTCGTGACTTTAACAACCTCCATAGCAAAATTTCTTAATATGATATGGAGATCGCAGTGTTTGGTAAATTTCTTAAATTTCTTACGAGCAAGATCGGAATTTCATCGATATTACAACTAGCGGCAGACTAAACTGTGTTACGCTTGAACACTCCAATTTCATAATAAGCGAGCCAAACGCTCAACCGTTGACCTTTTAAGGTACTCAAGTATCAAAATACCCAAACACCATTGCTTTATTTTTAGTCGTTATTTGTCGTGCGTGATGATCTTTGAGGAGGTTAGGATGAATGACTGTGTTTCCCATATCCAAATTACAAGGATTCTTAAAGTTATAATCAATTACCTCTAAAGAGCACACATTTGCTGCTATCTGAGTTAAACGATCAAATCCCCAAACAGCTGATCGTAACATCTGTAAGGGAGAGTATGGCTTCCTCTGAATTGGAAAGACCATCCATTAGCTGGGCTTAATTTTCTGTTAAGTTGGTAGTAGTCAGTAGTGAAATCTAGAGTCAGATGCTTATGTTTCAGTTTCTCTTCAAAATGCGTTGTCATGATTTTACGAGCAATTATTTTGACCCCATGTCTTCTGAATATGAATATTTTCAAAAAAAATGTGTTCTAGCAACTGTTGTTATGGAGGCTGATCCAGCTGTGATAACTCACAAGTGTGCGCCAAAACGGTACACTTCGGATTGTCATAATAGAGAGAAGGTTGAAGCCATGGCGTCCCTAAGATCATTTCATGATTGAGGTGAACTTTATTTAAGTAACACTTTCTGACATTCACGTGTTCGTCATTTTCACCGACTTCATAAGATTTTAAACCGCGCAAATGAATTAAATAAATCGATTAATATACAGCAGTACTTTCTGTTTTCCACTTCCCTGAACCATATTATGACAGGAAACCCTGAAAAACCTTAGTCAATCTCCTGTTTCACCCATTAATTTTTTTTCTTTTTTGCAATAAGTGCAAGTTATGCGATGGATGACATTGGCGGAGGTGCATGTGAAGTGGTCGGTAATTTTAATGGGTCGTTTAGGTCTCGATATTTTCTTAGCGTTGAATTAGGGACAAGTTTTGCATCGTGCGTAAGCGCATTGGAAAGTTCCGGGTTAAATATAAATAAACTAATTATCTTGAATTGACCAACACTACCACGTGATTCTAGGATAATTCATGACTTAATCCTGCTGTGGCGAGAATAATTGATGAGTCAACCAGAGGATGATACTACTTTGTCTGCACCACGTTCTAAGTTGAAATTAAGAAGAAATACTGAGAATCACAAATATTATGATATAATATGCTGTGCTATATTATGATATAATATGCTTATTAATATTATGATATAATATGCTTATTAATATTATGATATAATATGCTTATTAGTATTATGATATAATATGCTTATGCTATGCTGCGGCTACGTCATCAGGAAAATTTGATTTACTGGAAAGATTTAGAGTGACAGTTGGAAAAATACAACTAACTTCAAATTATTGACGATAACTCGAAAGAGAAGACATGAAAACTAATTATATAATGTTGGGCGCCCTTAGGGGTTTCTCAATATACAGACCACCAAAGAATGGAGAAAAGAAAAGAAAGAAAAAAGGAATGGAAGAAGAACATATACATGATGGTTCCCTCGTACGGCTAGAGAAATAGACATAATAGTTTGTGTGTTTAACAGTGTTTGTTAAATAGATAACTTTATTTGTCTCAAGTCGTTTAAAGCCGAGCACCAAAGTGCTCTACAAATTGGGGAGGCTAAAATATAAAGTATAGTAAAATAAGTTAACTTGATCTATTCAACTAGTATCTAGTACAAGTATAAAAAAATTGACATTAAAATCTAAGAACAAATCTAAGAACAAATCTATTCTAGTATTTCGTTTGTATTTCGTTTGTAAGGAATCCTTCCTTACCACTTGAATTAATTTCAGGAATTTAATAATAAGCTAATTATAAACTTCACTAAGGAGTGCCGAACGGCCTTATACTGAAGGATTTATTTATGATATCGTCGGATATGCATTGACCTCTGCAGTCCAAAATCATGTCTTCCTCAGGAGAAAAATACTGCAGTAAATGGCTTGAACCCGAGGGTAACATATGAAGGTGTAGTCTGATCGTCCGGGTGAGTGTAGTCCTGAGAAGGACTGTTGTCGGTGGTAGTGACTGACGTTTCGACAACCTGTGCGGAAGTCATCATCAGAGTCAAGTGAATGATTGTTGTCAGTAGAATGTTCTTATTCCAGTTCGTGTGAAATGATCGGTTGGTTTTGCCGTGATGTTATTGGCTGTAAGACTCAAGTGACGTAAGTCGGTCGTGATTGGTCTGTTTCGATCTGTCGGTAAAGTTAGGTCGTTCTTTTTCGGTCGTTTGTGATGTTTATGTCGTGAATGAGTCGTTTGTATGGAGCGGGTAGTTGTTGACATCTGTTTAGGGGAGTCTGTTCTAAGTTAGTAAACCAGCTTTCCAGAGTCAGTCGTTGAAAATAGTCAGTGCTGTAGGTTAGGCATTGCGCAGAGTCCCAGTCAATGTTGTGGTTGGTAAGTCGATGGTGTTCAGCAATGTGATTGCTGACATCACCTTTCCTCGTCGCCCGTCTGTGTTCAGTCAGTCTTGTTGTGAGGTTTCTGCCAGTCTCACCGATGTAGGAGGCTTGGCAGTCGGAACAATTGATCTTATAAATCGTTTCCTGTCTGTTCCTCGGTTCGTCTTTGTCTTTAACGTTGGTTAGTAACTGACGTAGTGTGGTGATGGGTTTGTGGGCGACGCAGATATTGAAGGGTAGTAAGATCTAGTAATCTGTCGGTGTGTGTCTGTTTCCTGTAAACTGTCGTTCGTAATGAGTTGTCGTTGTGGCTTACCAGGCAGTCTAGAAAAGGAAGTTTGCCATTTTATTCGACTTCTCTGGTAAACTGTATGTCAGTGTTTTGTTTGTTAAGGTGGTTGTGGAATGCGTTAATTTCGTCGTGTCGAACGGCGGTGAATGAGACGTCAACGTAACGTAACCAATGCAGTATCGTTTGTCGGCAAGTCGAAAGGCCGCGTTCCTCTATGTTCTGCATCACAATTTCTGCTATAACAACAGAAAATGGAGACCCCATGGCAGTGCCGTGTAACTTTCTGTAGTGTTTACTGTTGTACTGGAAGTAAGTAGACGTAAGGCAAATGTTTAGCAAGTCCATCATGTCGTCTGTCGGTAGCGGTAGATGGTCGGTAGATTGTCGGATTGCTTTCCAAAATCATGTCTTCTTCAGGAGAAAAATACTGTTGCTCCATCCGTTGTCACAACTATCTCAACCGACTCGGACCAATATCGATAAAATGTGACAGCAGATCGTGGTTTTGCAAACGTCAAGGAAATATATTTACTGAAGGAAACAACCGCAAAGCTGTCAGTGAAGCGTTGAATCCGTTACGCACCAAGTAAACCCGCACGTAGTCCATCATACTTGAATCAAAACTCAGATGTTTGATAAAGTTCAGAACTATTTCTTCTCTGAGTCTGAAGAGAAAGTAACCCAACCCTGGCTTAAGGTATTTTCATTTGGCCCTTGCCGTTACCTGGCCTTAACTTTCTTTCTCAGCGACATATTGAAATAGAAACATTTCAAAATATTTTACAGAATATTTCATTTAAACGCACTTCACATGAAAAATCATTTCTTAGAACTAACATCTCTTCCACATCTAATTGCATGCAAGCTGTTGCGATGATCCATCTGAAGTTTTGGACAAAAAAACCTTTGCTTTAAGTCAATGAGCTGCTGCCTAATTTGTAATGATAAGCTGACATGTACATAATTTGTAATGATAGGCAGACATGTAACCGTACTGAAAATCAAGCGACACTGCAAGTGTTACCTTCCAAAATTTAAAGTTGCGTTTCGAAAGAAGACACAGATTTTAAAATAGGGATGGAAACGTCCAACCATTACGGATAAATATCATCTATCCACTCTTCATCATTAATTCATGTTCTTTTTGGGACATTTTGATAAACAGAAAAAGATTAATTAAGTTCGTAAATGGTCAAGGACTACGAAAAAAAGGTAGAACTTGATTTAGAAATAAAAGGTACCACTCACCGACCTTATGTCAGCTGTTTTGCGCATCCAATTACCAAAAGCTACATTGCTATTATGTTCTCTTATGAAGTGTGTAAAGACTTCTTCAGTATTTAATTCTAAAACTTTCAAGTATACTACAATAACATGAATTGACCTTAGAAATTCTCTGGGAGCCTTGGCAAACTTTGCTAAACACGCACGTCCAAAAAGCCTCATCTTCTGCGTGGACTCCGTGCTCAACAAAACTGGCTTAGCTAAAAGTAGGATCATTGATATTCCAGAAGACATGTTTAATTTCGAATGAAGCACAGCCGAATTTCTCAATAGCACGTGCACCAAAGCTATGCAAA